CTGTTGATTAACTTCTAATGATAGAAAACAAAAATTATAGGATGTCACTTCTGAAATTAGGTTATAAGAAGATGGTGGCTTTGTCTTGAGTATCATCTGTCATACTCTCCTTTTTTATCCTTAAGTAGGCAGGTAGACCTGGAATGCTGTGTAGGGATATATTGAATTCTTGGAACATAATAAAAGCAAGAAATGATTTACGAAAGTTATTCATCAATAGCCCTAAAGTTAACAGAAAGCATTAAGGACAAATTTTGCTTCCTAGACACTCAAAATGAAGCCCAATAAGATCTATTTGGCACCAGCCCAAAGAGGGCTGGACCTCTTCCAGAGATCTCCAGCAGGACCAAAGAGTTGTAATAAAGACATGAAGGTGGACACCAAAAGTTCCTTGCTCTTTCCATTGACAATATCCTAGCAAAGGCACTTATCTCCACAGAAAGCCCCATGTTGGGGAGAGCTTGGAAGAAACACTGTAAAACCTACTCTGCAAAGGCAAACAGGGATGCTTCCCTGTTTGGTGGGGCAAAGGGATGGCCCCATCACCTGAAATGTGTACTCTCAGCTCTCTGAAGAAGCCCGTGTTCTCTCTTTAATGTGTTGCCCTTTTCCTCTTAATCTATAAATAAAACTTTATCCATCTACTCCTAAAATTCTTTTCTGTGTGTATAAGGGGATAGAGGAAAGGCTAGCAGATGAGGCTCCTGCAGAAGCCTGGGTAAGATTCAGGACTGACTTTCCTTCCCCGGAAAATTGCAATTCCTCACCCTTCCTGGGTTCCATGGTCTTCCAAGAAATCGAGTTGCAAGGATCATTTCCCACGCAAGGCAGAACAAGTGAAACCCAGGTACAGCTTGACAACCATCTTGTGGGGCTGGTGAGACATGAGGTCTGTACCTGCAGGTGTTCATTGCAGACTTTCATCATTCCTAAACTTTTCCCCAGGCTCTTCCCTGGGTCACCAAGGTGAAGTGAGACTCCCCTATCCAGGTTGCCACCTTTGTTGTCCCCACAACAGGTCAATCATCTGCAATAATTCTGTGGAGAACCAGCTGCTAGGTTTTTAAAAGACTGTTGAAGCCTCCTGTCCAAAAGCCCACAAGGAACTAAGTTCTGCCAATTCTGCACAAGAATTTAGAAGCAAATTCTCCCTGAACTGTGCTTCTGTACGTGACTAGAAACACACTCATTAACTGCAGTCTCATTTATGCCTAGAACAAAATATTCTGCCTCTTGGATTCCTGACCTACAAAAATATAAAATAAATCTTTATCATTTTAAGTCACATTTTTTTTAAGTTATACATTGGATAGTGGCTGGAGTGATAGCACAGAGGGTAGGGTGTTTACCTTACACCAGGTCGACTCAGTTTCAATTCCTCTGCCCCTCTCTGAGAGTCCGGCAAACTACCGAAAGTATCCCACCCACACAGCAGAGCCGGCAAGCTCCCTGTGGTGTATTCGATATGCAAAAAACAGTAACAACAAGTCTCACAACGGAGATGTTACTGGTGCCCGCTAGAGCAAATCGATGAACAATGGGAGGACAGTGCAACAGTGCTACATTGAATAGCATAAATAGCTAATATCTTTTTTTCATAACCCTTCTACAAAACCCCCACTTTTTAAAAAATATTGGGATCCCAAATGTTCTTAGGTTTTGGAATCAATTTAATAGTTCCTGTTCCAAAATACTATTAAAAATCTTTATATTCCCAATCCATGACCACTTGACTAAGCCAGGGCCCATGAAATAATTTAAAGCTTTATCTCAAGTCAAACCTTATTCCAAACAACTTTCTTTTCCTGAGTGTTTCTTGTGGGCTGGAGCCATAGCACAGCGGGTAGGGCATTTGCCTTGCACTCAGCTGACCTGTTCGGCCCAGATTCGATTCCTCTGCCCCTGTCAGAGAGCCCTGCAAGCTACCGAGAGTATCTCACCTGCGCAGCAAAGCCTGGCAAGCTCCCCGTGACGTATTTGATATGCCAAACACAGTAACAAGTGTCACAGTGGAGACGTTACTGTGCCCGCTTGAGCAAATTGATGAACAACGGAAAGACAGTGACAGTGAATGTTCCTTGCAAGCTTAGTAGCCAAAGACACTCGGGATATGCTGATTAACTGAAAACATCTAAATGAAAACCAGCAGATCCAAAAATGATGTGCCTAATGTGGCAAGGGGAGGGGGGGCCACATTAAAAAGAAAAAAAGAATGATGTGCCTAATTAACACACCCCCACTCCCACCTCCCACCCCCCACCCGCCTTGATTTCTTTCTCTCCAGTTTCACTCAGTCAACATAAATTGTTGTCTTTCTAAAGAGTCTTGAAGGCAAGAAACACTTATCACTTTAGACTAAGATTAGCAAAATCATTTCCAATGCATATGTAGATTAACCCTTCACAATTCCTTATTTCTTAATTTCTAAAGCTTTTTGTTTTGTCTTTCCTAAATTTATTATCTTTCCAAAACTATAAGCTCACTGAAACAACCAGAATGAGTTAATATTCTTATAGATCTCCCCCTATGCACATAACTAAAGCTGGCATTTACTTTTGCTAGCCTCTCATGCCAATTTACCAATAGGTCAGCCAAAATGAACCAACAGAGCAAAATTTTCCTCTGCAAATTTCCTCACATGGACCTGTTAAATTGAATTCAAAATACCAAAGTAGCCCTCTTAAAGATGTTATATGTATATTGGGGAAAGTCATTCATAATTCAGTTTTTTCCTCAATGGCTATAAGGAATGCATCATAAATGATGCCTGGAATGTGTGAGTTACGCTGTGACCTTCTCTATTACCACTTACTCTTAAAGGACTCCTTCCCTAGTAGGATCAGGTAACTTCTAGCTCATGATGAGACACTCAGATTCCATAGCTTCTAGATGTCACCCAGACTTCAGAACCATTTCAACCTGTCAAGAACTGTTTTTTTTTCCTTTGCAGAGGGTTGAACCCAGGATCTCATGCCTCATGTATGCACAGCTTGCATTTTAACAGTCAATCCCAAGAATGTTCTTTTTTTTAAATTTTTTTTTCTTAAATTTGTATTAGTGAAACACCATCAGGTACAGTTGTAGACTTACAAATTTTTGTGCTTGGGTTTCACATACAATGATCGAATACCCATCCCTCCAAGCATGTTCTCTTAAAAATGAAAATTTTCCAATGGTGGTAGGGTGAAATGAAGAGCTGATTAATATAGATAGTAGTGGAGTCATGGGAATTTGGGTAGTAGAATGCAGCAACTGCACAGCAAAACCATAAACTTTAAACAGTATTGCATCCATATTACCGTATATATGCATATATATGTATGTGTGTGTGTATATATATATATATATACACACACATATATATGTTTTTAACCTCCACTATGATTCTGTGAAGACTTCTGCAAGTTACACAAAACATGCTGATCAACTACATATGCTCTGGATACTAGAGCCCTTGGAACTTAAGGACTATTTGGCAGCTACGGTATCGCCTAGAAGAGTAAACCGCCTCTTGTTTGGCTCTTCACTCAAAAGTATCTCTCAGTGGGGTGGACAGATAGTGCCCCGGGAAGGCAGTGCGGCTGGCCTGGTTCCATCCCAGCACCACATGCAGTGCCCTGAGCGCCACCAGGAGTGATCCCTGAGCACAGAGCCAGAGGTAAACCCTAAATAGCAGGTGTGGCCTAAATACAAAACAAAATGATAAATAATCCTTCAGATCATCTGGTCAATGAGTCAGTTCTGATCAATTAGAAGTTCTTGGCAAAAATAATTCTTAAAACTGAAGAGGTTTGGGGCTGGAAAGATAGCACAGCAGGTAGGGCGTTTGCCTTGCAGGCGGCCAACCCAGGTTCCATTCCCAGCATCCCATATGGTCCCCTGAGCACCGCCAGGGGTGATTCCTGAGTGCAGAGCCAGGAGTAACCCCTGTGCATTGCCGGGTGTGACCCAAAAAGCAAAAAATAAAACAAAAAACTGAAGAGGTTTGATCCTGACAAGAGTAAAAGGTCAATCTTTATGGACTAAAAAAGCGATCTTCTGAGAGTCTTGGCTTCAAGTCGAGACTGGAAAATAAAATTGTTTCCTCGTCCAGCTTCAAGCACGATTAGGGGTTTTGATCAACTGGGGCTCCCAAGAGAAAGCTGACCGCTTCTCGGCTCTTCCTCCTGACAAGCCAGGGTCGGCGACGGTCTATTCCAGGCAGTTCCTAGGCCCCCCGCTAATCGCGCAAACCCCAGTTTCTCCGCCTCTACCCACGCAGGACCGTGTCCTCGCCTGGTCTCCCGCGGTCCCGCCCTGTACGGCCTCACACAGGCTCCGCCCCTTCCTCCAGTTGACTCCGCCCAGTCCCGCCTCAAGCCGGTCTCACACAAACCCCGCCCCGTCCTCCTCCAGCCGACTCCGCCCAGTCCCGCCTCACGCAGGCCCCGCCCAGTCCCGCCTCACGCACGTCTCGCCCAGGCGACCTCACACAGGCTCCGCCCCATCCTCCAGCTGACTCCGCCCAGTCCTGCCTCAAGCCGGACTCAGCCAGGCGGTCTCACACAGGCTCCGCCCCGTCCTCTAGATCACTCCGCCCACTCCCGCCTCAAGCCGGTCTCACCCAGGCCCCGCCCCGTCCTCCTCTAGCCGACTCCGCCCAGTCCCGCCTCACGCAGACCCCGCCCAGTCCCGCCTCACACAGGCTCCGCCCCGTCCTCCTCAAGCCCACCCCACTCAGTCCCGCCTCACACTGGCCCCGCCGCATACTCCATCAGACCCCGCCCAGTCCTGCCTCCGCAGGCCTCGCCCTGACAGCCTCACACAGGCCCCGCCCCTTCGGGTCCAAGAGACCCCGCCCAGTTCCGCCCCACGCAGGCCTGGCCCCGTCCTTATTGCTCAGATTCCCTCCCTGTCCCGCCTCCCTCAGGCCCCGCCCCTTCCGCTCTAGCGGGCCCCGCCCCGGCGCCCTCACGGAGGCCCCGCCTCGCTAAAGGACCCGCCTCTCCCCGGGTCCCGGGAAACTCCGCTGGTCGTCGCGGCCCTTCCCCCGCTCCCGGTGCAGATTCTGCCGGTGCCAAGGCCATGGCGGTGTCGCGGCTCGCCTGGCTGCTAGGCCGCGAACCGGACGCCGCGTGGAGAGCGGCAAGTAAGAAGGCACCCGGCCCTGGGGCTCTAGGTGGCGGGCGGGAGCGTGAAGGCCCGGTCGCCGCCGCCGCGAGCGAAGCCTCCTGAGCTGGACCATTCATGCAGCTTGTGTCCCGGGTGTCGGAGGGCGCCGGGGCGACCGGGTTGTGCACGGGGAGTGACCCCGCAGCGTTCTGGAGGTCAAGGGCGAGACCGGGGAGCTCGGGCCGAGCCCTTCCCGCGGGTCCGGCCCCGAGGCAGCCGCTTCACGGGGCTTTTAGGCATTTGCGGGCGCGCTGCGCTTTGGTGCCCTGGAGCGGAACCCGAAGTCGCTTTTTTTTTTTTTAATTTGACATTAAAAAGGATTTGGCAGTTTACACTGTAAAAAAAAGAGAAGCCGACTTTAGACCAAGGGCCAGAAGTATAGTAAAACTTAGATAAGCCAAGAATTGCTCATACAAAATACGATGCTCCCTGTACAAACCGTGTTTTAGTTCATTTTCATCAGATATCTTTCCACTGGTGTATTGCAGTCTTTGTTTTTTTCAGTTTTCATTTATTTTTTTGCTTTTTAGGGGTCACACCTGACGATGCGCAGGGGTTATTCCTGGCTCTGCACTCAGGAGTTACTCCTGGCGGTGCTCAGGGGACCATATGGGTTGCTGGGAATTGAACCCGGGTCTGGCATGTGCAAGCCAAGTGCCCTACCCGCTGTGCTATCTTTCCAGCCCCTGTATTGCAGTCTTTACCCGCAATGTTTATTAAACCTATTAAACATAGTTTAATAAACTGGAGACGTTCTGTAAGTTGGAAAGAATTAACTGTCCTCATCAGTCATTGACCCCCAGATTTCTATATCGTTTATCGTTCTATAATCATTTTCACCCACACACACAAATATTAACTTGGTTAATTGTAAAAAAAATTGAGTAGTTTGGACTCTAGAAATGAGTAGTGTATAAAATACAAAATACAAGTACATATTCTCTAAACCGCAGACATTAACTTTAAAAATAAGTTTTTCTTGTGTGTAAGTACCTTTTTTTATCCGTTAAGAACTTAGAATTTAAAAAAAAAAAAACTTAAGAATTAGGAATTTGATGCCCAAAGTTTATATAGCATGATTGCCCTCCAATCTTTTTAAATATTTTTCTAACTCAGAAGTTTATTGTGTTGCGCCAAACCTGTATGTGCAGTCTTGGGTATATATTAAACATTTGCTGATTTTTAGGATTCAGCTTGTTATGTAATTTATAATAAAGTAGACTTGATTGCCAAAATTCAATTTTAAGTATTAAAATTCTCCTTAATTTTTCTTTTCTTTCTTTTTTTTTGGGGGGGGGGGAACAGGGGCTATACCAGGCTGTGCTTAGGGCTTACTTCTGACTCTTCTCAGGGATCACTCCTGGCCGGCTTGGGAGACCATATGGGTGTCAGGGATCAAATCCAGTCCCTATTGGGATTTTGATTGGAATTGCATTAAATCATACCAGAATTTTGCAAGAATTATAATGTGAAGTCTTGACTCACCAGCTGTCCTATTAGATTTGTAATTTATTTTTCAGAATTTATAGTTTCTATATATAGACCTTTCTCATGGCCTTTCTCAGTTTTATCCTTGACTATTTCATAATTTTATGCTCTGGGAAATTATATTGTTTTACCAATTTAAATATTTATTGTTTATTGCTCATCTTCAGAAATACACTTGATTTTTTTTAATGTGTTGATTTTAATATTAGTGTTGCTAGGTGTGGTAGGTCAGGTAAGGTGTTTTTGTTTTGTTTTGTTTTGTTTTTGAGTGGGAACCTTCACCTCTCGCAGAAAAATAGCTGTTTTGTTTGTTTGGGTTTTGGCTCTAGTAGCTTTTTCAGGTTTCCAATGAATTTCCTACATAAATGACAATACAGCATGCAAATACAGTTTTATTTCTTCATTTCCAATCTATGAGCTTTTTTTTTTCCTCCTATTTTACTGGCCAGAACTTCCAATGGTATTTTTGTTGTTTTTCATTTAGGGGGTCATACCTGGCACTCCTTAGGCTACTCCAACTGGCTCAGTGCTCAGGGGTCGTTCATGGAAGTCAGGGGATTCTGCAGTGTCTGATCAAACCCTGGACTCACACATGCAAAGAAAGCATTTGCTCCTACGCCTTTCGCTATGTCTCTAGAAAGCATTTGCTCCTACGCCTTTCGCTATGTCTCTGGTTCCCTTATTTTATATCAAAGAGTGAACGTTTGAGGCTAGAGTGACAGTGGAGCAGAAGTGCCTTCCATGTGGCTGACCTCGGTTTGATCCCCGCACCCCATATGGCTCCTGAGCCTGCCAGGAGTGATCATCCATGAGCACAGAGCCAGGAGTAACCCCTTAGCACCCAAAACAAAAACACAAAAGCAAAAGAGTGAGTGGACAGTCTTGGCCTGTTCTGATATAGAGAAAACTTTTTTTCATCATTGTTTATGTTACCTATATGCTTCTCAGAGATACCCTTTATCAAGCTAATGAAGTTTTCTTTATTCATAATTTGCTGAAATTTTTGTTGAGTGACAGAATTTAGCAAATGCTTTTTCTGCACCTTTTGATTTTATCATGTTAATACAATGAATTATTTTAATTTTTCAAGTACTAAGCCAATTTTGCATTCATGGGATAAGTAGTATTTGGTTTTTATATATTTATTATTCTTTTAGGGCTGGAGCAATAGCACAGAGGGTAGGGTGTTTGCCTTGCACGCGACCAACCCAGGTTCGATTCCTCCATCACTCCCGGAAAACCGGGCAAGCTACCAAGAGTATCCTGCCTGCACAGCAGAGCCTGGCAAGCTCCCCGTGGCGTATTCGATATGCCAAAAACAGTAACAACAAGTCTCACAATGGAGACATTACTGGTGCCCGCTGGAGCAAATTGATGAACAACATTGTCGTAACTTACCAAACAGCATCTCAAGCTTTATAGTTTGGTGGTAGATCATTGATGTATAATTGTACATCCAATGATGGATATAAGTTCCTCTGTGGAGGCTGGCTGAGCTTGCTAAATTGAGATATAAAGTGTCAAATTGTAAAGAGTTCCTACATTTTTTACAGCAGATGTCTGATAAAACAATCTTGGGTTTGGGATTGAGAAAGAAGTCATGGTTTATGTTCTCCAAAATTTACAATGTGCTATTACAAATTGCTATAGTCAACCAAGATCAAATTTTTATGTGAAACATCAGTACCATTAGAATTTAGATTTCCATTTAATTTTTCATCATGTTTTTCATTACATTTCTAAATGTAATTTCCACCTTATAAAATATTATTGAGGTTTTTCTTTCTTAACTTTTTTATATGTTTTAGTGAAGTAAAATAGTTTTCTTTAAATAAATTTACTTAGTGAAGGTAAGTGGAGAAGAAGAGAGAGACACATGTTCAAGAGAACATAGGCTTCTCCAGAAGTGAAAAAGCCTATGTAAGTATTTTTATGAGGACTTAAGAAATAAAATATGTCCTTACATACTGAAGTATAGGAGGTTGAAGACATAATGGTCTGCACTTGGGGTCGACAAATGGAAAATTTAAATAGATAAATGTTTTTATATTAGTATATATTTAAGTTTTGGTTGATCCACTGAAATTTTCTCAGTTTCAAAATATAAAATATATTAATAAGCATATATGTGGTATATCATTTTAATAGTGTTATTTAAACATTAACTTTTTATATGTGTGTTGTGTATATATACATATACATGTGTATATGTATATATATACACACATATACATGTGTGTGTATATATATATACACAATATATATATACACATAGCTGGAACGATAGCACAGAGGTAGGGCATTTGCCTTGCGCGCAGCTGGCCTGGCCGAGCCAGATTCGATTCCTCCACCCCTCTTGGAGAGCCCAGCAAGCTACCAAGAGTATCTTGCCTGCGCAGCAAAGGCTGGCAAGCTACCCATGACATATTCGATATGCCAAACACAGTAACAACAAGTCTCACGATGGAGATATTACTGGGCTCACTCAAGCAAATTGATGTACAACAGGAGGACCGTGACCATGATATATATATATATATATATATATATATATATATATATATATTTGTTGTTTTGTGACCACACCTGGTGATGCTCAGGACTTATTCCTATCTCTGCAGTCAGGGACCACTCCTGTTGGTGCTTGGGGATAGTTCTGGGATGAAGCCAAGTTAGCTGCAGCCAAGACAAACACCTTACCCACTGTACTGTCTCTCCAGCCCCTAAAACAAATTTGTCAAAAGTTTTGCAACCCATGGTTTAAGAAACTTGAATTTAGACAGTAAACAGCTTTGCTCATTACTGAGCTGTATGTAGTAGATGTACAAATGAGCCTGGGTTTTTTTTTTTGGTTTTGGTTTTTTGCTTTTTTGGGTCACACCCGGCAATGCCCAGGGGTTACTCCTTGCTCTGCACTCAGGAATCACTCCTGGCGGTGCTCAGGGTACCATACGGGATGCTGGCCACGTGTTGGCCACGTGCAAGGCAAACACCCTGCCCGCTGTGCTATCACTCCAGCCCCACAAATGGACGGTTTGATGTGCAGTTTTGAGATTGTTAAAGTACTTTGTAATATTAACTTTATATAATCTTACAAACGAGTCCTATGCAAATTCCACATTGATTATAGAAGATATGTATAGACACTTATGTACATACATTTACATGTGTGTGTTAACTTTTTTAAGCAAGGGTAGAGTTATTTAGGGATGGGTAGAATATGGCTATGTAGTGAGAGATTATTATATGAAATGCTGTCAAGAGCTTTCAGATCATTTTATAATAACAATAGATAAGATTTGTCACGGTGCTATATGCTTTGCATGAACTGTCCTGCTTAATATCTATTTAGTAACCTCATGAAATAATTACTGTTACCTTCAATTTAGAGGGGAAAAAACAGACTTTCAAAGGATGTGATAAAGGTCAAAGTGCTAGTGTTTGTATTTGTTTCTTATTGATGTTGTTGTAAATTACCACAAACATAGTAAAACATTTTATAATTCTAGAGGTCTGATGTCTGAATTGGGTCTCTTGGGCATTATTAAGGCATTAGGGCTGTCTCTCTTCCAGAGCCCCAAGGGGAATAGTTTCCTAACTTTTTAAACTAGAAGAGGATGTCCATATGTCTCATTCATCGCCTCTCTTACTCACTTTCAAAGCTGGGGCATCAGTCATATCTGTCTTGAGCTGTTATGTCTCTGGTTCTCTTTTTTCTTTTGGTTCTTGGACCACACCCAGCAATACTCAGGACTCACCCATTCTACTTCCAAACCATTCCTTTAGAGGAAAACTCAACTGTCAGGTCATTTCATGATGACGTTGCCCTGATGGAACATTTATCTCAGCAGAGGTTGGATAACTGTCATAGTGTTGAAAGCTTAGTGTTCTCTTACTAATCTAGAAAAAACTGTTTTCTTATTTATACATCAGAGAGACCCTGTTCATTTTTAAATACTCAGTTGTTAGAAGAATAAGTCTATGTTAGGATTTGAGTAGAAGTATACCAAGTATAGTCCCACATAGCTTCTAGAAATTTAAATGATTATTTGTCATTGAAAAAATTGTCTTAGTTAATCTTAGTAATCAAGATTTCTGGCATTTTTTACATCACTTCAGAGAGTGACTAGTAGTAAGTTCTTACAGTTTTGCTACCAATTAACTATGTTATTTTATAGCTCTTTCAAGCTTTAATAATGTAATACTAGTTGCCTCCAAGAAGGGGAGCATCTGTCAAGAAGACAGCCAGTGGGAAGGATTTTCATTGTATATACTCTTGTAATATTTCAACTTTAATAAACGTGTTTAAACTTAAAATTATTAAAAATTTTAGAGTAATATAAATGAGCATCCTATTTTTTCACTATCTCCCCTCCGCTAGGATTACCCGTTCTTTGCCATTCTTTGAGGAAAATGTGCTCTCAAGGAGGAAAGCCTGAACTCAGCAAACAATCCCTTAAGAAGCCAAAGTTACCAGAAGGTCGCTTTGATGCACCAGAAGATTCCACTGTAGAGAAAGAACCATTGACAAGTGAGTATAGTAAAGCGTCTCTCTTAATTTTTCAGGTATCAATGAAAGTGTTTCAGTTATTGAGAAGAAACACATTGTTATTTCTTATTTATTTCTTGATTACTAAGAAAGCATACTTCAGCAAGGAAAAGAATTACCATATTGCCTATCACTGTATGTGGGTTTAAGTATATTTTTCCCAGCTCCTGGCAGTTGTTGACTATGTTTGTTTTATTTATATTCCCATGGCAAAACATGTGAATTGAAACTGTTCTGATGCAAGCAACAAATGCACTTGAAAAACTTAAGCAGAAGATAGGTCACAGACCAAAAAGACCTGGACTTGGGAACCAAACGCCATATGTAAATGACAACACTCTGCCTCCTCTTGTCACTTCTCTTCATTGATTCCCTTCATTGGGCAAAAAAGAACTGTTCCAAGTAGCTACTCACTCTCTAAAAGCAGCTAGATTTACACTAGAATTTCTTAGTCTTAATTCCAAATTCCTTATAAGACAATTCTATTGGTCAGCCTTGAATCAGGTGAGTCATCAGAGAGACCAGTAACTTGGGTCACACATGAAGATGGTCATTCTCACTGTAATGAAGTGATTGGGGACAAAAGGTAGAAGAGTGTTTTTTGTTTTTTTGGTTTTGTTTTTTTTGGGGGGGTCACACCCGGCAATGCCTAAGGGTTACTCCTGGCTCATGCACTCAGGAATCACTCCTGGCGGTGCTCAGGGACCATATGAGATGCTGGGAATCGAACCTATGTCGGCCATGTTGGCTGCGTGTAAGACAAACGCCCTACCCGCTGTGCTATTGCTCCAGCCCAAGAGTTTGAAAAATAAAGATTTATTTTAAATAAAGATTTATTTTGTTGAGGGAGGTAGGGTGATAAAATTAATTTTTGTATTCAGTATGTTCAGATTTTTTCCCGTCTCTGTTGGCTGCTTTAATCACATCTCTATCTTTCTTTAGAATTCCCAGATGATATTAATCCTGTTACCAAAGAAAAAGGCGGACCCAGGGGCCCAGAACCGACCCGATACGGGGACTGGGAACGAAAAGGACGCTGTATTGACTTTTAAGCCATATGTTTGTTTTTTTCAGTATCTTTTTCAAAATATGTATATCTACATTAAATTATTTCCGATTATCTCCTTATTTGTAGCATTTGACTCACATATGTAATAACTTTGGAAGAAAATATGCTGCTGTAAATTAGGAAAATATTTTTATATTCACACACAGTTTTAATTTAAATGTCTTGAGCTATATGAGTCTCTGCCCCCGCGCCTCGGTGTTCCTTCCCGGAGTCCCTTGGAGGGGAGCGGGTTGAGCTTTCCTCCCCGCCCCGGCCAGGGCTACGGCAGCCAGAGACCTCCAGGACCAGCCACCACCATGCTGAGACCACTCTCCGCACACCTGAAGGTACTGGCAGAGGGACAAAGCCACGCGGGTTCTGGGGCCGAGACCTCCCAGCCTACTCGAATTGGAGTCGAACATCTTCCACCCAGATCCTCCAAATTCCAGTAGGCGGGGGTCACACCCACCACCTGGCCCCCTGGCGCCGTGTAATCCCATCAGCAGCCAAGACTCAGAGACTATAAAATCCAGATCCCGGACGAGAGCAGTGCAGTCTCTGCCCCCGCGCCTCGGTGTTCCTTCCCGGAGTCCCTTGGAGGGGAGCGGGTTGAGCTTTCCTCCCCGCCCCGGCCAGGGCTACGGCAGCCGGAGACCTCCAGGACCAGCCACCACCATGCTGAGACCACTCTCCGCACACCTGAAGGTACTGGCAGAGGGACAAAGCCACGCGGGTTCTGGGGCCGAGACCTCCCAGCCTACTCGAATTGGAGTCGAACATCTTCCACCCAGATCCTCCAAATTCCAGTAGGCGGGGGTCACACCCACCACCTGGCCCCCTGGCGCCGTGTAATCCCATCAGCGGCCAAGACTCAGAGACTATAAAATCCAGATCCCGGACGAGAGCAGTGCAGTCTCTGCCCCCGCGCCTCGGTGTTCCTTCCCGGAGTCCCTTGGAGGGGAGCGGGTTGAGCTTTCCTCCCCGCCCCGGCCAGGGCTACGGCAGCCGGAGACCTCCAGGACCAGCCACCACCATGCTGAGACCACTCTCCGCACACCTGAAGGTACTGGCAGAGGGACAAAGCCACGCGGGTTCTGGGGCCGAGACCTCCCAGCCTACTCGAATTGGAGTCGAACATCTTCCACCCAGATCCTCCAAATTCCAGTAGGCGGGGGTCACACCCACCACCTGGCCCCCTGGCGCCGTGTAATCCCATCAGCGGCCAAGACTCAGAGACTATAAAATTCAGATCCCGGAACCGCGCGGCCGCATTCGCAGCCGCGCGACATCTTATTATCTCATTCCTACTTTGGACAAACTTGCAGGCTGTCGAATGTAGCCTGCCCACAGGGCAGAGTCTGGCAAACTCCCCGTGGCCTACCAAATATGCCAAATACCAGTAACAATGATGGGTCTCATTCTCCTAAAGAGCCCTGAATATAATCTCAGGGCTAGGATGAAAGAGACGTTACTGGGGCCTGCTCGAGGCAATCGACGATTAACAGGATGATGAGCTATATGAGTGGTAGTTAGAGCTACAAACATTATGATCCAGTTTAACCTGTTGCTTATAAAATTCAGATGTAAATAAAACAATATTTTTTCATGATTATGTTGCTAGATAATGATGACTTTGGGGGCGGGGTGGGGGATTGATGGCCACTCCTGGGTCTGTGCTTGGGGGTTGCTTCTGACAGTGCTTGAAGGACAATGCGGTGCTGGAGATTGAACCGGAGTCAACTGCATGCAATGCCCTTTACTGTCTGTCAGGCCCCAGTAATAACGTCTTTAAATGTGAGCTAAATAGTACATTTCCGGCCATAGTGACAATAGAAAATCTTGAAGAAAAACTTGAAGACAGATTTCTTGGGTTTAAATCTAGTAGTAGAAATACTTACTAGGTATGTAAGTAATAGAACCTTGGGTAAATAATTTAATCTCTGTATCATATTTTACTTCATAAGGCAGTGAAAATATTAAATAAATATTGTCGATTGTTTGAATTACTGCAGAAAACATAACTTCTCACTAAATATTGGCTATTCTTAAATCATAAATGTATTTTTTTGATTCCCGAGGCTTTCATAAAGGTAAGGTAACGGTAAAGGCCCTCCCGTTGATCATCAATTTGCTCGAGCGGGCCCAGTAACGTCTCCATTGGAGACTTTGTTGTTACTGTGTTCGGCATATCGAATACGTCACTAGGAGCTTGCCAGGCTCTGCCGTGTGGGCGAGATACTCTCGGTAGCTTGCCAGGCTCCCCGAGAGGGGCGGAGGAATCGAACTCGGGTCGGCCATGTTGGCCGCGTGTAAGGCAAACGCCCTACCGCTTGTGCTATCGCTCCAGCTTTCATAGAGGAAAATATTAAGAAAAAAATTTTAATAACTGAAATCGATAGTTAATATTGATGGCTAATGATAGACATTATTAACTAATATAATTTGTATATAAGTACATGCGCTAACCACTTGTGCCACTGGCTGGAGCGATAGCACAGCAGTAAGGCATTTGCCTTGCAAGCTGTCAGCCCGGCCAAGCCGGGTTCGATTTCTCCTCCCCTCTCGGAGAGCCCAGCAAGCTATCTCGCCGGCACGGCAAAGCCTAGCAAGTTACCCGTGACGTATTTGATATGCCAAACACAGTAACAACAAGTCCCACAATGGAGATGTTACTACTGGGCCTGCTTGAGCAAATCGATGAATGACGTTAGGACAGTGCTACAGTTTGCATACTTGATTTTAAAATAAAATTTAGTTATAAAGAGAAAATATGAGAAAGTCAAAGGATGGCATGGACAAGCTTCCTTTTGATTTAGGAATTCAGAAGTTCTTACCAGGTTGCCCTTGTCTAACTGGATCTGGAAAAAATCAAGTCCAGTTTATAGATCTTGAATAAAGGAAGGATGGGGACTGCTAGGCTTCTCAGTCTTACTGTGGTCTAACCTCAGTCACAGAGATTGGACCTTCAGCTCCATGGTTACTCTTAAATTACTTAAAAAGGGTTTTCAGAGCCTATAGAAACAAAATGCAATAGGCTTTAAAAATGGAATATGAATTATGTGTGCATTTTTTGAGAAAATTGTAGTGAGACTTATTTAAAATAATACTCTTGTGAATTCTCAGAAGCAAGCTAGTATGATCATTGGAACTATTCATTCAGTCTTTATACCGGCTCTCTCTCCTCATCACCATTTGTTCTAAAATTTCAGTTACTGTATATGCTGCTAAACATAACTGAATTCCTCCTTTTTTTTTTTTTTTGGCTTTTTGGGTCACACCCGGCGATGCACAGGGGTTCCTCCTGGCTTTTCACTCAGGAATCACTCCTGGCGGTGCTTGGGGGACCATATGGGATGCTGGGAATCCAACCCGGGTCGGCCGCGTGCAAGGCAAACGCCCTACCCACTGTGCTATCACTCCAGCCCCTGAATTCCTCTTTTAAATATTTTGTGGTTTATTTACGCTTCAGTTTGCCGAAATTAGTGAAGGTTTTAAATAAATATTCCAAAAATAATGTGTTGAATTTTTATGTAGTATAGTTTGGCTTATATCAATAGGTGATAATATGTAACTTGTTTCATTTCTAAAACTGAAATACTATCTACAACCACCAAAATGTTATATTATGATCATGGAATCCATAACTTCTTTTAATAGTTCCATAAAAACTATCAAATATAAAATTTAGTGACCTGAAAATATTTACAGGCTGTCAAATGTTAAGAAAAAACCTGAAGAATTAGAAAAGATGTCATGATAGCCATGCAAATGCCATGCAAATGCATCACTGACTCACATCTGCTCCTATGAGAATCACAGTAGATTGAAACTCCAGTTGCACATGCTTGCGAGGGGGGTGGGGGGGGATCCATTACTGTGCTCTTGCTGAGGTCAATATTTCTCCCAGGCCATCAGCCTAGAAATGGTAATGGGATACTGTGTATGAGAAGCTTGACCAACATCCCCATGAGTGACTGTCTTAAGGATTTCCAGTTGGCCTGCAGAATGTTCTTATCCTGGTGCAGCTAACCAAGACTAGTTGTACCCTTTCCTCCATTTCTCTTTTTCCTTTCACAGGTGTCAGACTCACTTTTCATCCCCTTTATGATTCACAGATGTCTCCCCTGTAAATCTTTCCCATTTAATTCTATTTTAGCATGTTTTACAAAGAAATCAAATTAGCATGGATCACTTTTGTTCTGTTTTGTTTTTTTGCGGGGGAAAGATCAGAAGGCAGGGAGGGCCACAGCTGGCTCTGCACTCAGAAACCATTCCTGGCAGTGTTTAGGGGACCATAGGGTGCCAGAAGTTGAACCCAGGGCGGCCATGTGCAAGGCAAGGTCCCTACCCACTTTACCATCTCTCCAGTCCCAGATGGATCACTTTTTTGTTTGTTTTTGGGTTTTTTTGCTTTTTGTGTCACAGCTAGCAATGCTCAGGTGTTACTCCTGGCTCTGCACTCAGGAATTACTCTTGGAGGTTCTTGGGGAACCATATGGAATGCTGGGGATTGAACCCGGGTTGGCCGCATGCAAGGCAAATGCCTTACCCGTTGTCCTATCGTTCCAGCTCCCAGGTTGGTCCTTTCTAAAAGAAAAACTTAAGAGGGCTCTGGGAATGACTCAGTGACTAACAGTGCCCACCTTGCAAGCATGAGGTCATGAGTTCAGTTTTTGCTGCCGCCCAAATGTGTTGTTGCACTGCATGTTCTGATCTCCTTAGTACTAACACTGTATGTGCAGTCTCTTGAGTGCATAGCTCGATGCAGTGAACACTGCAACTAAAAACGTGTGAGCACAGTCACTAGGACTGCAACCCCTAGCAAACATTGCAACTCAAATATGCACAAGCCCAGCTGAGTATGACACTAGTAAGCACATGTTCAAGCGCCACAACCCAAGAAGCTCAACCCTCAGGGAGCATCATGACTGACTCTGTGAGTATAACAACACCTGTGCCCCAGAAAGCACTACAACCAAGATTACACAACCCATAGTCATCACAACAGTAGCCACAACGGAAAGGAAAGTGGGGGAAAGCTAAATAAGTACATAAAACATAGAATAGAGATATTTTTAAA